CTCTTTTCCGGAGCAGAACTCTAAAACCGTTCACTATTTCTTCACCAAACTTGGCACATAGATAGATCTGGTGGTGTACTGGTGCCTTTTGGTAGTTTTGGAATTCTGAATAAAATATTTTTGGCGTTTCCATGGCAACAAAAGTTGACTTAGCCTGAAATTGGTGGTTGTGCTCTTTTCCGGAGCAGAACTCTAAAACTGTTCACTATTTCTTCACCAAACTTGGCACATAGATAGATCTGGTGGTGTACTGGTGCCTTTTGGTAGTTTTGGAATTCTGAATAAAATATTTTTGGCGTTTCCATGGCAACAAGTTTGACTTAGCCTGAAATTGGTGGTTGTGCTCTTTTCCGGAGCAGAACTCTAAAACCGTTCACTATTTCTTCACCAAACTTGGCACATAGATTGGTCTGGTGGTGTACTGGTGCCTTTTGGTAGTTTTGGAATTCTGAATAAAATATTTTTGGCATTTCCATGGCAACAAGTTTGACTAAAACAGAAATTAGTGGTAGTGCACTTTTTCTGGAGCAGAACTCTAAAACTGTTCACTATTTCTTCACCAAACTTGGCACATAGATAGATCTGGTGGTGTACTGGTGCCTTTTGGTAGTTTTGGAATTCTGAATAAAATATTTTTGGCGTTTCCATGGCAACAAGTTTGACTTGCCTGAAATTGGTGGTAGTGCTCTTTTCCGGAGCAGAACTCTAAAACCGTTCACTATTTCTTCACCAAACTTGGCACATAGATAGATCTGGTGGTGTACTGGTGCCTTTTGGTAGTTTTGGAATTCTGAATAAAATATTTTTGGCGTTTCCATGGCAACAAGTTTGACTTAGAATGAAATTGGTGGTAGTGCTCTTTTCCGGAGCTGAACTCTAAAACCGTTCACTATTTCTTCACCAAACTTGGCACATAGATAGATCTGGTGGTGTACTGGTGCCTTTTGGTAGTTTTGGAATTCTGAATAAAATATTTTTGGCGTTTCCATGGCAACAAGTTTGACTTAGACTGAAATTGGTGGTTGTGCTCTTTTCCGGAGCAGAACTCTAAAACCGTTCACTATTTCTTCACCAAACTTGGCACATAGATAGATCTGGTGGTGTACTGGTGCCTTTTGGTAGTTTTGGAATTCTGAATAAAATATTTTTGGCATTTCCATGGCAACAAGTTTGACTTAGAATGAAATTAGTGGTAGTGCTCTTTTCCGGAGCAGAACTCTAAAACCGTTCACTATTTCTTCACCAAACTTGGCACATAGATAGATCTGGTGGTGTACTGGTGCCTTTTGGTAGTTTTGGAATTCTGAATAAAATATTTTTGGCGTTTCCATGGCAACAAGTTTGACTTAACCTGAAATTGGTGGTTGTGCTCTTTTCCAGAGCAGAACTCTAAAACCGTTCACTATTTCTTCACCAAACTTGGCACATAGATAGATCTGGTGGTGTACTGGTGCCTTTTGGTAGTTTTGGAATTCTGAATAAAATATTTTTGGCGTTTCCATGGCAACAAGTTTGACTTAGAATGAAATTGGTGGTAGTGCTCTTTTCCGGAGCAGAACTCTAAAACCGTTCACTATTTCTTCACCAAACTTGGCACATAGATAGATCTGGTGGTGTACTGGTGCCTTTTGGTAGTTTTGGAATTCTGAATAAAATATTTTTGGCGTTTCCATGGCAACAAGTTTGACTTAGCCTGAAATTGGTGGTTGTGCTCTTTTCCAGAGCAGAACTCTAAAACCGTTCACTATTTCTTCACCAAACTTGACACATAGATAGATCTGGTGGTGTACTGGTGCCTTTTGGTAGTTTTGGAATTCTGAATAAAATATTTTTGGCGTTTCCATGGCAACAAGTTTGACTTAGACTGAAATTGGTGGTTGTGCTCTTTTCCGGAGCAGAACTCTAAAACCGTTCACTATTTCTTCACCAAACTTGGCACATAGATAGATCTGGTGGTGTACTGGTGCCTTTTGGTAGTTTTGGAATTCTGAATAAAATAATTTTGGCATTTCCATGGCAACAAGTTTGACTTAGACTGAAATTAGTGGTAGTGCTCTTTTCCGGAGCAGAACTCTAAAACCGTTCACTATTTCTTCACCAAACTTGGCACATAGATAGATCTGGTGGTGTACTGGTGCCTTTTGGTAGTTTTGGAATTCTGAATATATTTTTGGCGTTTCCGTGGCAACAAGTTGACTTAACCTGAAATTGGTGGTTGTGCTCTTTTCCAGAGCAGAACTCTAAAACCGTTCAAAATTTCTTCACCAAACTTGGCACATAGATAGATCTGGTGGTGTACTGGTGCCTTTTGGTAGTTTTGGAATTCTGAATAAAATATTTTTGGCGTTTCCATGGCAACAAGTTTGACATGGCCTGAAATTGGTGGTAGTGCTCTTTTCCGGAGCAGAACTCTAAAACCGTTCACTATTTCTTCACCAAACTTGACACATAGATAGATCTGGTGGTGTACTGGTGCCTTTTGGTAGTTTTGGAATTCTGAATATATTTTTGGCGTTTCCATGGCAACAAGTTGACTTAGACTGAAATTGGTGGTTGTGCTCTTTTCCAGAGCAGAACTCTAAAACCGTTCAAAATTTCTTCACCAAACTTGGCACATAGATAGATCTGGTGGTGTACTGGTGCCTTTTGGTAGTTTTGGAATTCTGAATAAAACAATTTTGGCGTTTCCGTGGCAACAAGTTTGACATGGCCTGAAATTGGTGGTAGTGCTCTTTTCCAGAGCAGAACTCTAAAACCGTTCACTATTTCTTCACCAAACTTGACACATAGATAGATCTGGTGGTGTACTGGTGCCTTTTGGTAGTTTTGGAATTCTGAATAAAATATTTTTGGCGTTTCCATGGCAACAAGTTTGACTTAGACTGAAATTGGTGGTTGTGCTCTTTTCCAGAGCAGAACTCTAAAACCGTTCACTATTTCTTCACCAAACTTGACACATAGATAGATCTGGTGGTGTACTGGTGCCTTTTGGTAGTTTTGGAATTCTGAATAAAATATTTTTGGCGTTTCCATGGCAACAAGTTTGACTTAGACTGAAATTGGTGGTTGTGCTCTTTTCCAGAGCAGAACTCTAAAACCGTTCACTATTTCTTCACCAAACTTGGCACATAGATAGGTCTGGTGGTGTACTGGTGCCTTTTGGTAGTTTTGGAATTCTGAATAAAATATTTTTGGCGTTTCCATGGCAACAAGTTTGACTAAAACTGAAATTAGTGGTAGTGCTCTTTTCCAGAGCAGAACTCTAAAACCGTTCACTATTTCTTCACCAAACTTGGCACATAGATAGATCTGGTGGTGTACTGGTGCCTTTTGGTAGTTTTGGAATTCTGAATAAAATATTTTTGGCGTTTCCATGGCAACAAGTTCGACTTAGAATGAAATTAGTGGTAGTGCTCTTTTCCGGAGCTGAACTCTAAAACCGTTCACTATTTCTTCACCAAACTTGACACATAGATAGATCTGGTGGTGTACTGGTGCCTTTTGGTAGTTTTGGAATTCTGAATATATTTTTGGCGTTTCCATGGCAACAAGTTGACTTAGCCTGAAATTGGTGGTTGTGCTCTTTTCCAGAGCAGAACTCTAAAACCGTTCAAAATTTCTTCACCAAACTTGGCACATAGATAGATCTGGTGGTGTACTGGTGCCTTTTGGTAGTTTTGGAATTCTGAATAAAACAATTTTGGCGTTTCCATGGCAACAAGTTCGACTTAGAATGAAATTAGTGGTAGTGCTCTTTTCCGGAGCAGAACTCTAAAACCGTTCATTATTTCTTCACCAAACTTGACACATAGATAGATCTGGTGGTGTACTGGTGCCTTTTGGTAGTTTTGGAATTCTGAATAAAATATTTTTGGCGTTTCCGTGGCAACAAGTTTGACATGGCCTGAAATTGGTGGTAGTGCTCTTTTCCAGAGCAGAACTCTAAAACCGTTCATTATTTCTTCACCAAACTTGGCACATAGATAGATCTGGTGGTGTACTGGTGCCTTTTGGTAGTTTTGGAATTCTGAATATATTTTTGGCGTTTCCGTGGCAACAAGTTGACTTAGACTGAAATTGGTGGTTGTGCTCTTTTCCAGAGCAGAACTCTAAAACCGTTCAAAATTTCTTCACCAAACTTGACACATAGATAGATCTGGTGGTGTACTGGTGCCTTTTGGTAGTTTTGGAATTCTGAATAAAACAATTTTGGCGTTTCCGTGGCAACAAATTGACTTAGACTGAAATTGGTGGTTGTGCTCTTTTCCAGAGCAGAACTCTAAAACCGTTCACTATTTCTTCACCAAACTTGACACATACATAGATCTGGTGGTGTACTGGTTCCTTTTGGCGTTTCCGTGGCAACAAGTTGACTTAGACTGAAATTGGTGGTTGTGCTCTTTTCCAGAGCAGAACTCTAAAACCGTTCACTATTTCTTCACCAAACTTGACACATAGATTGGTCTGGTGGTGTACTGGTGCCTTTTTGGTAGTTTTGGAATTCTGAATAAAAATATTTTTGTCATTTCCATGGCAACAAGTTTGACTCAAAACAGAAATTAGTGGTAGTGCACTTTTCCGGAGCAGAACTCTAAAACTGTTCAAAATTTCTTCACCACACTTGGCACATAGATAGATCTGGTGGTGTACTGGTGCCTTTTGGTAGTTTTGGAATTCTGAATAAAATATTTTTGGCATTTCCATGGCAACAAGTTTGACATAGACTGAAATTGGTGGTAGTGCTCCTTTCTGGAGCAGAACTTAAAAAATCTTTCAATACTCTCCTTCCACTTTTCTATATACACACCTAAATATTTGACATAATCATAACTCGTAGACATAATCATGAAGAGTATTTTGCCATTGCGGGGGATATTGATGACTTTGTCTTCTTGTTTTATAGTTTATGCTGTTCAATGTTCTGTGATTGCCTTGGAAGTGTGCTTCTATGCTTCAGTATGTGATTCATATGATCAGATGTCATTTTACTTATATTCCAGGGGCCTGGTCGTGCTCTTGAAGTTGACATTAGGAGTGAAGTATCATCTCAGGAAGAATACCACTGTTCCAGCACTTTTCCAAAGCAATGTCAAGAATAATCCCCAAAAAGCTTGTTTTGTATATGAAGACAGGACTTGGACATTCGAGGATGTGGAAAATTATTCAAACTCGGTGGCCAACTTTTTTCACGAGGCAGGATACCGGAAAGGAGATGTTGTGTCAATCTTCATGGAGAGTCGTCCCGAGTATCCGTGCTTCTGGCTGGGCCTATCAAAGATTGGCGTTGTAGGGGCCCTCATTAACTTCAACCAGAGGGACAAGGCTTTTGCCCACAGCTTGAATGTGTCACAGTCCAAAGCACTGATATTTGGAGGGGAACTATCTCAAGGTGAGGAACTGCTGCTGCTGCTTTCATGATAATAGAAGATGCAGTACTGGCTTATGTAGTCCGTGTTCCACACTAATACTGGTCTTGAGGACCTGGAAAACTGAATATAGATGTGGATGAATTTTGTTTGTTTAATGCCACACTCAGCAATATTCCAGCTATACGACGTCAGTCTGTAAATAATCGAATCTGGCCCAGACAATCCAGTCATTAACACCATGAGAATTAATCTACGCAGTGGGGATACCCAATCCTGTTAGTTGCCTCTTACGACAAGTACATGCTGCTGAAGATCAGTCGTAATCCGGATTTTGCAGGATGTTTATGTGGATAGACAAAGTCATCTTAGTTTGTATGACTTTTGAAATCAGACATATTGACGTTAAATTCTAAACCAACAAGTAACTGAAACAACCGTATGTGGTACAAAGGTCACCTTCTTCTCTGGTCTTTCATTCTATTTGTGGGGTGGTGGGGTAGCCAATTGGTCATTGTGTTCACTCGTCACGCCAAAGGCCCAGGTTCGATTCCCCACGTGGGAACAATGTGTGAAGCCCATATCTGGTGTCCACCACCGTGATGTTCCTGCAATATTGCTAAAAGCGACGTAAAACCATGCTCACTCATTCTAATTGTGCAGTGAAGTAATACCTTTCAAATCCTTATCAGGTCAAGACCAATGTGTCAAGTCTGTTTTAGATTCACCAGGACCAGTAGGTATTTCCAGAAGCTGGTTCTTTCGACCTATGACTAATTTTGGTCAGTATTATTCATTGACAGTGATCAGAAATATTTGGCGCATCTAGCAGTCTTCTCTTCCATTAGTCTGCTGAAACTTTAGCCTCACAGGATGTTCTAGTTCCTCTGTTAGCTTGTGATTTGTGTGAGTGAGGTGGGCATATTGGGTGAAGCATGGGGATGCTGCCTTGAGGTTTCTTTTTCCATATACTGAAAATGAATGGGCAGTTCCGGATGGAAAAAAGAAAATGTTTGGATATTTATTCCCTGTTGGTTCAGTCACATCCTTCCATGAAAGACATCAGAATTGGGTGTGGTTTCATTTCCCTCTCATCAAATGTGAGTAAAGCTGCCAGTAAAAAGCTGCTCGAGTTTGCTCATTTTATGAAAGCCGAATCGGTTTTGAAAGATGACATCTGATTATCTCAGGAATCCATCCTTCATGTGTGTGCTCAAAGTTAGCAGAGGGTTCACACAAAACATCTTCCTGTTGCCTATGGAGGGTGTGTCTGATCTTGCCAGAGGGAAGTATTTGTTTGCTTTTAGTGTTTGTTTGAATTGTTCTACATATTATTATCCCCCGTCACGAAGTGGGTGCAGGGGTGGAAATAACCCATTGCCCGATGCCCGAGTCCAGTGTTTTTTTCTGTTGGGCAAGCAAATTTGTATATCACACTGTACCGGTGTCCAGTTGATATTCCAATGTTAATTATGTTGTTTATTTAAAAAATCAACGAGAAAATGGCCTGTATAGTGGAAATATTATCAGGGCAAGTGATTTTACATGTGCCACTGTACCGGCGTACACTAGCAATTTTAAAGTTATTTCCACCCCTGGGCTGGGGAATATTGGTTTGAGCTCCGTCCGTCCGAGATGATTGGGACCGATTTTCTCAAAAGCCGTTATAGATAGGGAAACCAAATTTGGTATGTGTTTTCAGGACATGAATGCCTTGATGGAGTTGAAAACGGAAACCATGTGACAATTTGTTACAGAGTTATGGCCCTTGTCATTCATTTCTTGACTTAGTGCACGGTATCCCCAATGGGGACAGACTTTCTCAGAAACCGTTATAGATAGAAAACCAAATGTGATATGTGTTTTTCCAGGATATGAATGTCTGGATAGAGTTCGAAAACAGAAACTGTGTTACATTTTGTTACAGGGTTATGGTATGTGATATGTGTTGTCAGGACATGAATGTTGTGGTGGAGTTAAAAACAGGAACCAAATAGGAACAGAACACTGTGGGGGGGAATATTGATGACCATGTCTTCTTGTTTTGTCTGTATGTCACATGATGGGGGCCTCAGCTTGAAGTGTGGTCTTGTTTCTGTTGCAGCGGTGAAGGATGTTCTCCCCCTGCTGGAGAATAACCCGACTTTGTACAGCAGCGGTATCCTAGCAACCAATGACATCACACCCATCAACCTCGATCAGAGGCTGCAGAAAAGTCCAACCTATCCACCACCATATACCCAGGGGTGTTTTAGAGGTGGGTGACATGTCTGCACTGCCTGTACCCAGGGAGGTTTCATGGGTGGGTAGCACGATCCATCCCTGTCCTCCATCATCACCTACACTACACACAACTACATTTGTGGCAGAATGGATAAAAGAAGAATGCATTTGTAGCAGGGTCTGGAGTCATCCCAAAAATGACATCTTTCTACAGCTTGCTGACGGGGTTAACCTCTTTGGTCATGTGGACAAGGAGTCCGAATTCGGATCAGAAGGTCCCTGGTTCAAATCCCAGCACGAGACTCGGAAATTTTATGACCGCTACCATTGTGTTTTTTATAAGTTTTCGTATTTTGGCCTGTATACTCAGATTACAAATACTTTTGTTGATACAGTAAATTATCATTATAACAAGCTCATCGGACAACTAGTTATAGTTCATTATCACCATGGTAACTGTAGTTTGTTATGTGCACATTTCCACTAAAACATACATCAAGTTTCCTGGGAAAAAACACAGTTTGTTATATTTGTCAGTTCTTTTTGTTTAAGTGTGTTCCTTACAAATGTATTTTACTGTATTTGTAAATGTTCCAGGCATCTGTTAACATCACAAGTTGTTCACTGGTCCAGTGAACAACGTATTTATCTTACCAAACTCCTCAATATTAATTTTGAACTGTTTGAAGCATGGGTATCTGATCATAAGAAGAAGTATCAGAGTTAGGCAGTTAGCCAATACTGACGACAGACGACAAGAAAAACAAATTTAGAGTTACCTCCCTTTCACCGATTTGCATTCGCAAAACATCCATAATTTCTCTACATCAAACGTGACTCAATTATTTGAGATAAGGAATAACTAACACAAAGTACCAAATGAATCCCACAGTTTGGCATTCCCAGTGGGTAACATAGAAAATGTTACTCGCTTGTTATGTAAGCGGGGTACATTGAAAATTATAGAAGAGCGCTCAGCCAATCAGAAACCGACATTTATGTGTGAGGTAAGATAATAACTGTTGACACACATGAAGTCTGACTGTTAATTTGTGTTGCATATATGATGCACCTGTACTGCATCAATTTAGGAAAACATGCTAAATACAGTATCTGTTTCTATGGCGGCAATGCTGTAGTTATTTTATAGCCGAAATGATGCAAGGCGGGGTTGTTTCACAGTGTGAGCAGGTGATCTACAAGTGAGATCATTTACTTGATTCATCAGGGCCAAGCAAGGTGTAAGTTTTGATCCTACTGGGGGATTGATTGTTGTTAGATTATAGGGATCGAAATAGCGCTTCATTTGCGCTCCATGGTAGTGGTGTGACGATTCATCGATGCATTGATTCATGGGCTGCTGATACAGTGAATCGATACAAAGTTTTACATTGTTGTCTATCCCGATACGATACTTCAAATGGACCACGATACATCGATGTTTAACTTTGAATATTGCCCGAATCACGATATCTGTCAAGAAAGAGGACTTACTTTTGTTTGATGATGAAAATATTTGCTTACTTATTTTCTCTTCATAAGTAAAGTGTAACGTTTTCTCAGAAATTCTTGCGTCAAACTGTGTCGGACACAGCGCTCGCATGTTATCAACATTCACAACATCCGTCTATAAACATAATTATCCTGTTTCCGAATGAACATCGAAAAACGCTGGCGGAATTTGACGAAATACTTTAAAATGTTTTTGTTTTGATCTTAAGGTGTTTTATGGTTGGTGTTAGAATTAAAGATTTTAGTATCATGATACGATGTGATCGTGATCGCGACCCTTATATATCGATTTGTATCGTGATCGCAGCTTCAGTGCACAATACTTTGGCAATATATCGTCGCGACTAAAATGTTATTATTGTGATGTAACGTATTGCAGGTTGTATGCCAATACCAGCACTATTCCATGGCACAGTAGATATTGAAATGGCACAGATGAAATATTTTCAGTGTGCCCTGGTGGCACGCCTAAAGTTATAATGATAATACTCAACATAATTCATTTAATGGAAAATGTGATAAATTTAACCAACTGATTCCAAGCCTAGTTTTGCACCCTATCAAACTGTTTAATGACGGCACTCTCAATCTGAAAGCTTAACATGGACATGGCCTTGTGAATAACAGGAAATCATCCCGTTTTGAATGAAAACAAAGGTTTGTGGGTTACTTTATGGGTCTGACCGCCTCCGTGGTGTAATGGTTAGAGTGTCCGCCCGGAGAGCGGAAGGTCGCGGGTTCGATCCCCGACTGCGTCATACCAAAAGACGTTAAAATATGGTACTTGTTGGTCCCTGCCTGGCTTCGCATTAATGGGTACAACAAGGACTGGTCGGCTCGGAGTCAGTATAATGTGTCTGAGTGGGGTATTCATGCTTCACTGCGGCATGGTATCTCAGTGGGCTAGCACTATAAAACCAGCTTCAGTCTGGGCTAGTACAAGCAGCCGCACATACACATACACACGCATGCACGTCGTCATATGAGCGAAATATTCTCAAGCACGACGTTAAACCCAATTCCACCACCACCACTTTATGGGTCCAGGACATAGCTGAACTATTCTTGCAGTCTTGATAGTGTTTAGGAAATGTAGCTCTCAAGTTTACAGGTTTATGTAATGTTTACTGCTTTATTGAACAATAAATTGAAATGACGTAATTGTTGTGATGTTTAAAGTTGAATTGTATCATGAAAAGGAATGGACACACTTATTATCACAACAGAACACCTTAATTATCTGTCTGTGCCCTAAGTCACCCTTAGAAAAAAATGAAATTTGTCCCTAGATTACCAGTACATACAGGTAAATAAGGGGTTTGTGTCAACAAGGTTTCACTGTATCTTTTCAGATAAGCTATTCTATGTCTACACATCTGGAACAACCGGCCTACCAAAGGCTGCCATCGTCACCCATACTAGGTGAGCTCTTCATTATTGTTTGTCATTACTATAGTCTGTTTGCAGTGAAAACGTACCGATGAATTTCACTTTAAACCAAAAAGTAAAACAAATAAATTGAAATTAAGACTGCGAATCCTCATGATTTTACCTTGCCAATTGAACATTTAAATCTCAAAATTATATTCAACTTAGGATAAAAGTTGTTTTACAAACGATCATAGATTCATATCGCTATTACTGGGTGCCGTTCCACTAACCGATCTTAGCCCTATGCCAATCGTAAACCCCTAAAATCCCAATCTTAGCGTGATGTTACGATCGGCATACCGTTTCCACTAACCAATCTTACCTATTCAAAGTCTAAGTTGCTCATGACCAACTTAGGATAGCTAAAATCAATCGTAGAGAAACCAAAATGGTGGCTTTCCTATTCTATGTGAAAAATAAGAGCAAGCAATTTCACCGTGAGCGTCCCCTAAAATCCCCATGAAATGAATTTGTATATTTCTGTGATGTAAACAAACACTGCACTGCACTGAAGCCTTACAAATGTCAGGCCAGTCTGACCACTGTCGTCATGGGAACACAACAGAGGGAGTCGGTGTAACACATTTGTACAACAATATTGCAACGTCATGGTTAAGAATAGGGACAGCCTTGAAGTGAACAATGTTCTGAAGCAAAAAGATACAAATATGTTTGATTTCACTGCGCATATTTGGTGGGGGAATCTAAAGGCAGGCGCATGTTATTCAAGACCACTGACAGATTCTACATACGTTATAGAGGATGCCTCGTCACTCCTTGTTTATTCTGATTGAGAAGGTTCATGAGGCACATATTAAAAGCTCTGACACAATTGACATTTTTAAAGTCCAGACTTAAAACCTGTTCTCAGTATATTACTTATAATCTCGGCTGTAAATACTCTCGTGTAAATTATCTGTACATAGCGCTTTGAGCATGCCCAAGGATGTGGAATACTATAAATATGCCACTATAAATATATACCCAGCATTCAGCGTTCATTAATTGCACCTGAAACCAAGGTGCTCACTACCCTATTATTTTGCTCTAGGTTTTTTCTCCACGTTTACACTTGGTTGGAAAAAAACCCATGAAGGCCCGGGATAGAATATTGAACTTCAATAACCCATGCTTGTCATAAGAGGCCACTAACGGGATCGGGTGGTCAGGCTCGCTGACTTGGTTGACACATGTCATCGGTTCCCAACTGCGCAGATCGATGCTCATGCTGTTGTTCACTGGATTGTCTGGTCCAGACTCGATTATTTATAGCTAAGATACATAGCGTTCACTAACATGAACGCTCATGTTAGTGAACGCTATGCATCTTAGCTAGATTATTTACAGACCGCCGCCATATAGCTGGACTATTGCTGAGTGCGGCATAAATCTAAACTCACTCACTCACTCAGTTGGTTCGTAAACTACTTCCATCATTTGCTAGACTATGCAAAGGGAGATAACTCGTGCCTCGCATTCCTCTATCTCTCGCACGAAAGAGTCTCGATCTAAGCTTGGATCGGATCGTAAGATCGGGACCGGCTACGATCGGCCTAAGATCGGGTAGTGGAACAGGTGTAACTTTTAGCTCAGACGATTGTAAAATTGCCGTAACTTGCTAAGATTGATCTTAGATAAGATCGGTTAGTGGAACGGCACCCTGGTTTGTAGTACAATGGGGTAAGCGCAGTAGTTGGAACTGTGAAACAAATGCACATGCGGTACGTGAAGAGCGTTAACTTATAACAATCCTTGTCATTCTCGGTGTTTCATTTGATGTGCATATCCCCTTGTAATACAAACCAATAATAGCGATGTGAAACTATGATCGTTTGTTTAACAACGTTTATCCTAAGTTGAATCAAATTCTGAGATTTAAATGTTCAGTTGGCAAGGTAAAATCAGTCTTAATTTCACTATATTTGTTTTACTTTTTGGTTTAAAGTGACATTCATCGGTACGTTTTCACTGCAAACAGACTATAATAACTGTTTTATCTTTGGTTTAAAGTGACATTCATCATCACTGTTCATCGTACATTGTTCATCACTGCAAACACTGTACATCATGTTCATCACTGTAACTGTTCATCACTGTTCATCATCACTGTTCATCACTGTACATCACTGTTCATCACTGTACATCACTGTTCATCACTGTACATCACTGTTCATCACTGTTCATCACTGTACATCACTGTTCATCACTGTACATCACTGTATCACTGTTCATCACTGTACATCACTGTACATCACTGTACATCACTGTACATCACTGTTCATCACTGTACATCATCACTGTTCATCACTGTACATCACTGTACATCACTGTTCATCACTGTACATCACTGTTCATCACTGTTCATCACTGTACATCACTGTTCATCACTGTTCATCACTGTACATCACTGTTCATCACTGTACATCACTGTTCATCACTGTTCACTGTACATCACTGTACATCACTGTTCATCACATCACTGTACATCACTGTACATCACTGTACATCACTGTTCATCAATGTTCATCAATGTTCATCAATGTGGTGTCTCAGATGTCGAAGCACACTGACTCATGTTATAGAGTTGCATCCCTTGGGTGTGCCAGAATCTGATGATTTGGGGTTTGAAGTGAAGACTTGTTCTGATGATGTTTCCCGATTTGCCAGCCCCATACTCCTGCTTCTGTCAATATTCAGGCAATGTGTGCAGCGTTATATGATATCCACTCTAATTGTGTTTTATCTGGTAGAACCCATGCTCTGTTTCTGCCGTAGCCCTAGAAGCCAGTCATCATCAGTGTTGGGAGAAGCTCAGCTCCAAGGATAATACTTCTTTCTTCATTTCAGGTTTTACTACATGGCCAATGCCATTCGCTATTTCTTCAACATCAGCCCAAGTGATGTACTGTACGACACGCTGCCCTTATACCACACAGCAGGGGGAATCCTGGGAATTGGACAGGCCTTCATGGGAGGCACTTCTGTTGTCATACGTAAGAAGTTCTCCGCCAGTCAGTTCTGGAGTGACTGTGCCAAATACAACTGTACAGTAAGTTCCATCAGTTTCCTCCCACCAAGATGTAAATGTCTGAGAGCTGCAGAGCTTCAGGCTCTTCCACATTAAGCTGACTTCTAAGATGCTCAAAGGCGCCAATAGTACTTTATCAGACGATAATGTAAACTTTTTGCATTACGTCACAATGTATTGGCGTCACTGCGCCATTCCCATCTGCCCCCTCGTAATCAAGCGAACGACCTTTGGTAACCGACGTCATGATGCATGTCAGTTGTAATCGCCTCGTACAGCCTCCTACAGTAAACTACTCCGTAGCACCCTGTTTCTTGGTTTGCAGTTGCTTCACTTTGCTAACATTACTGGTGGAAACATTACGTTTATATTTTTGGATGGATATAATGTCTCAGTTCGACTCACAATTAAACAGTGACACGGCAGCATTCGCAATGTTTACATTCCCACAATGCATCCATGGAATGTCGTGACTAGTGGGTTTCATCTGGATGTACTGATCTAAACTTATGTTGGTATATTGCCCCATATGGTTTATGTTAATCACAGATGTAATTAAAATAATTTAGAGAAGATATTAACCTGAACTTAAACTATCATCAAGTGCAAGCTTCTTCCCGCTTTAACTATTATAGTTCAGGGTGAAAGTGTGCTTTATTACACTATACATGGTGTTAGTGCCAACTGTATTTCTTAAATACTCTGATTTTACTGCAAAGGATGTTAAAATTATGTATTGCACTTTTGTTTCAGATTGCTCAGTATATTGGTGAAATCTGTCGCTACTTGCTTCTCCAACCATTCCGGCAAGAGGAAACTCAACACAGAGTTCGTCTGATGTTCGGCAATGGACTCCGACCTCAGATATGGGCTGACTTTCAGAAGAGGTTTGGGGTCAAAACTATGGGGGAGTTTTATGGTGCAACTGAGGGCAACTGTAATATAGGTGAGACACCATGGTTCAACTTCAAGTCGTGTCAAAGAATGTATCTGTTTAGGAGCCTGTTTGTAGTTCTGTCCTTGACCTTTGTTCCATAGGCAACTTATATTCATTTGACCCTGTTATTTGTGCAAAGCTTAAAAACCTGTGTTCAGTTTTGATATGATAAAAATGGGCAGATATATTTTCCCTTTAGGGAAGCTAAAGAATTGGGTTAAGTGTGAAAATGTTTCATTTATCATGAATTTGCTCATTCACCTCAACTTTTCTGGAAGAATACATTTAGATTTATTTCTGAAATGTCTTCATGTCTATTTCAGTAAATTTTGAGAACAGAGTAGGAGCTGTTGGCTTTACAACCCGTATTGCACCGATTTTGTACCCAGTAACACTGATCCGAGTGGATGAAGCTAGTGGGGAGCCTTTGAGGGACAGACATGGAATGTGTATACATGCTCAGCCAGGTGAGTCTGACACAGGATGTGTATACATGCTCAGCCAGGTGAGTCTGACACAGGATGTGTATACATGCTCACACAGGTGAGTCTGACACAGGATGTGTATACATGCTCACACAGGTGAGTCTGACACAGGATGTTTCTGCATACTTGACCATGTTTACCTGTTTATTTCAGGTGAGACCGGTGAGTTGGTGGGGAAGATTGTAAAGGTGCAACCCACTGCGAGGAGTTTGCTCACGGCTGACGGATTAACAAGAAGGCATCTGAGAAAAAGGTTGTCGAGAATGTGTTTAGGAAGGGAGACACAGCATTCCTTACTGGTCAGTACACAAGTTGTGAAAACAGCAGTTGTTATATTAAGATGAAGGTCGATAAACTGAACTAATGGACTAGCAGAGCCAATGTGGCTGTAACCATTTCCTTTCTGTCTGAGACCTTGTTGTAACACTATTTGCTCCACTAGACTTGCATGGCCAGGTACTTTTATGTTTTTTATCAGACCAGGATGCTAGAAACTAAGGACAGCAGTTGATGGAAACCAGTTATTTACTTGTAACAGATTCCATATTTGGAAATACATGTATACACCTATCAGCACCTTGGTTTAGGTCAGTTTAACATACAAGGCTTTCCTTGTTTGCAGGAGATGTGTTGCTGATGGATGAGTTGGGGTACATGTATTTCCGGGACCGAACAGGAGACACGTTCAGGTGGAAGGGAGAGAATGTATCCACATCTGAAGTGGAAGGCACCATCCACAACGTCCTGAAACTGCAGGATGCTGTCGCTGTATGGCGTGGAAGTCCCAGGTACTAATCTCACCTGATCTTACACAGGGCAGGTGTATGATTATTTGAATGTATTTTCACCTTCCACCTTTGTATCAAGTGAATGAGTCAGGATCAGACAAACCCATGACTGTAAGCATGAACAATTGTCCTGGTGAGGTAGGTGAGGTGAGGTGAGGTGAGGTGAGGTAAGGTAGGTGAGGTAAGGTGAGTGAGGTGTGAGATGAGGTGAGTAAGGTAGGTGTGAGTGAGGTGAGGTGAGTAAAGGAGGTGAGGTAAGGTAGGTGAGGGGAGGTAAGTTGAGGTGAGGTAGGTGAGGTGAGGTCAGGTGAGGTGAGGTAGGGGAGGTAAGTGAGGTGAGGTGGGGGAGGGGAGGTGAGGTTAGGTGAGTAGGTGATCTAGACTTGTAGTTGGCTGGATGGGTAAGGTTGCTTACTTTGTCTGCTGGCGATTAGGTGACTTACTCTGAAAGTCTGGGTTCGAATCAACGCTGAGGCTCCACACAAAAAGTAATAGAATTTGTGTTTAAGAAAGTGTAATCACAAATATAATGCGTCACATTACATTACTTATAAAACAAGTTTGTATTTTTGTGGTAGATTTTAAGACAAATAAGAACAAAAAGGAGAATCATGATGATGCTTCTCTCCATTATGTGCCATGGATGGTAGACGGATATCTATGACTTCTCATAGGCAGATCCAGAGGGGGGTGCAGGGGTGTAAGTTTATTAAATGACCATTGGAATGATCTTAAAAATGAAGTGTGCACCCTTTCTCAAGAGTGTGCACCCCCTTTTTCTAAAAGCTGTATCTGCCCCTGCTTCTGTAGGCTACGAAGGTCGTGCTGGAATGGCTGCCATTGTGGACGAGACGAACTCCTTGGACCTGGCTGACCTGAACCAGGCCCTGCAGCGGTCACTTCCGCCGTACGCCCGGCCGGTCTTCATCAGACTGACCAAGGCGGTGGATACCACAGGTAGGTCTTACAAGACTAGTGACAATGAGTCTCATCAAGGGAGCGTCTAGGGAGGGTTATATGAGCAGGGTCAGAAATTGGCTCCAGCATCAGTCAACTCAGAGGAGGAAACTGAAGGGAAGAAGGAACGTCTTAATATCGTGTCACTGTTTGGGGAAGCAAATGTTTTAAGTGTATACTGTCACCAACACCTTATATTGTCTAAGGCCTTTTGGAATTTTCGGAAATATATTTTTTGGGTTTCCATGGTAACAATTTTGACATTGATTTGTTCATAGTGGTGTGTTTGTCTGGACCACTGCAGTGTTAGAACAGGTGTTATTGAGCATGGGCATTGGCTTTCCATGTTTGCCATTATGTAACAGACCCGTGAAGGTCCGGGTTAGAATATTGATCTTCAGTAACCCATGCTTGTCGTAAGAGGCTGACTAACAGGATCGGGTGGTCAGACTCGCTGACTTGGTTGACACATGTCATCGGTTCCCAATTGTGCAGATTGATGCTTATGATGTTGACTGGATTGTCTGGTCCAGACTCGATTATTTACAGACCGCCGCCATATAGCTGGAATATTGCTGAGTGCAGCAAAAATTAAACTCACTCACTCACTCATTATGTAACACAATGCGTAAGTAAATTTAAAGTAAATGTCCGGGATGTTTTCAGGCACCTTCAAGCTGAAGAAGACGGATCTGAGGAAGGATGGGTACAACCCTAACACTGTGAAGGACAGACTGTATTACATGAATGCTAAGGCTGGGATGTTTCAGCCCATCACCCAACAAGTCTACAGGGACATCTGTGATGCCAAGATCCGACTCTGAGCATGTGTTTGGTTCTGTGATAAATCAACTCTCATCACAGCATTCCAAGTGCATTATTATTTGGCCTTGCTCTTCATGACAGAACTGTGCCTACATTGAAGTATATCCTATATTTGTTATAAACAAAGTCGATATTAGAGTTGGTTTAGATCAATATATACAGAGTGCAGGGGACAGGTAATACTGTTTGATGGCTATTGTTGTCCTTTGGGGACGTCCTGTATAGTGGCTGCTGTTGTCCTTTTGGGACGTCCTGTATAGTGGCTGCTGTTGTCCTTGGGGACGTTGGGGCGCGTCCTGTATAAGTGGCTGCTGTTGTCCTTTGGGGGCGATCCTTTATAATGGCTGCTGTTGTCCTTTGGGGACGTCCTGTATAGTGGCTGCTGTTGTCCTTTGGGGACGTCCTGTATAGTGGCTGCTGTTGTCCTTTGGGGACGTCCTGTATAGTGGCTGCTGTTGTCCTTTGGGGACGTCCTTTATAATGGCTACTGTTGTCCTTTGGGGACGTCCTGTATAGTGGCTGCTGTTGTCCTTTGAGGACGTCCTGTATAGTGGCTGCTGTTGTCCTTTTGGGGCGTCCTGTATAGCGGCTGCTGTTGTCCTTTTGGGGCGTCACTGTATAAGCGGCTGCTGTTGTCCTTTAGGGGCGTCCTGTATAGTGGCTGCTGTTGTCCTTTGGGGGCGTCCTGTATAGTGGCTGCTGTTGTCCTTTTGGGGACGTCCTGTATAGTGGGCTGCTGTTGTCCTTTTGGGACGTCCTGTATAGTGGCTGCTGTTGTCCTTTGGGGACGTCCTGTATAGTGGCTGCTGTTGTCCTTTGGGGACGTCCTGTATAGTGGCTGCTGTTGTCCTTTGGGGACGTCCTTTATAATGGCTGCTGTTGTCCTTTAGGGGCGTCCTGTACTAAGCGGCTGCTGTTGTCCTTTGGGGACGTCCTGTATAGTGGCTGCTGTTGTCCTTTGGGGACGTCCTGTATAGTGGCTGCTGTTGTCCTTTGGGGCGTCCTTTATAATATGGCTGCTGTTGTCCTTTGGGGGGCGTCCTGTATAGTGGTGGCTGCTGTTGTCCTTTGGGGACGTCCTGTATAGTGGCTGCTGTTGTCCTTTGGGGACGTCCTGTATAGTGGCTGCTGTTGTCCTTTGGGGACGTCCTGTATAGTGGCTGCTGTTGTCCTTTGGGGACGTCCTGTATAGTGGCTGCTGTTGTCCTTTGGGGGCGTCCTGTATAAGCGGCTGCTGTTGTCCTTTAGGGGGCGTCCTGTATAGCTGCGCTGCTGTTGTCCTTTGGGGGACGTCCTGTATAGTGGCTGCTGTTGTCCTTGGGGGGCGTCCTGTATAAGTGGCTGCTGTTGTCCTTTGGGGGGGCGTCCTGTATAGTGGCTGCTGTTGTCCTTTTAGGGACGTCCTGTATAGTGGCTGCTGTTGTCCTTTAGGGGCTGCGTCCTTTAGGGGCGATCCTGTATTGTGGCTGCTGTTGTCCTTTGGGGGCGTCCTTTATAATGGCTACTGTTGTCCTTTGGGGATGTCCTGTATAATTGAGGACATATGTGTTACTAGAACGAGTGAGAACTGATGATTGTCCATTTTCAAGAAAGAATCTAACTATGCGCATGAATCGTCATGACTCAAGATGAATTGTTTACCATATGGTCCCCACTCTGTATTGGCATCACAAGAGAAATGTTCCCTGTCAAAGTTTTGTTTGATATCAGATAGAAATGATTCATGAAAACATATTCAAAGAGATTTATTTCAGTCTAAATCATGAGAGTGTGGAATTGAACAATGTCTTATTAATGCTCAATGAACACTCCTGATAAGATTTGCTCAATTAATATTTTTGCAGGTTCTGGAAACCAAAAAGTCCCTTAACACATCTTGTTTATTTATCTGATTCTTGCCACCATATTTTGAGATCCCTGGTCCTGTTTTCAGTCGGCTTCCGTTCTAAACCTGAAACCTTTATGGAGCCGTAGTATAGCCTCGAAGTTCAAACGCTCACTTGTCACCTGAAGACGCTGGTTCTATTCCCCACATGTGTGAAGCCCATTTCTGGCATCTCCTATTGTGATATTACTGGAGTATTGCTGAAAGCAGCGTAAAAACTCACTCACTCATTACTGAGTAACAGGATCGGGTGGTCAGACTCGCTGACTTGGTTGTCACATGTCATCGGTTCCCAATTGCGCAGATCGATGCCCATGCTGTTGATCACTGAATTGTCTGGTCCAGACCACCACCATATAGCTGGAATATCACTGAGTGCGGCGTAAAACCAAACTCACTCACTCACTCATTACTGGTAGATATAAGAAACATTGTGGAAATATGTCGGTTTAGTGTATAACATCATAGTTGGGTGTAGCAACAAGTGATTATCAAGTCATTTGTAGGGAGATAAATAGATACATGGTTACCCCAGCTACTTTTACATGAAAGTCCCCCAGCTACTGTTACATGAAAACTCCCCAGCTACTGCTACATGAAACTCCCCCAGCTACTGTTACATGAAACTCCCCCAGCTACTGCTACATGAAACTCCCCCAGCTACTGTTACATGAAACTCCCCCAGCTACTGTTACATGAAACTCCCCAGCTACTGTTACATGAAACTACCCCAGCTACTGTTACATGAAACTCCCCAGCTACTGCTACTGTTAGCTACTGTTACATGAAACTCCCCCAGCTACTGCTACATGAAACTCCCCAGCTACTGTTACATGAAACTCCCCCAGCTACTGCTACATGAAACTCCCCCAGCTACTGCTACATGAAACTCCCCAGCTACTGTTACATGAAACTCCCCAGCTACTGCTACATGAAACTCCCCAGCTACTGCTACATGAAACTCCCCAGCTACTGCTACATGAAACTCCCCAGCTACTGCTACATGAAACTCCCCAGCTACTGCTACATGAAACTCCCCAGCTACTGCTACATGAAACCCCCCCAGCTACTGCTACATGAAACTCCCCAGCTACTGCTACATGAAACTCCCCAGCTACTGTTACATGAAACTCCCCAGCTACTGCTACATGAAACTCCCCAGCTACTGCTACATGAAACTCCCCCAGCTACTGTTACATGAAACTCCCCAGCTACTGCTACATGAAACTCCCCAGCTACTGCTACATGAAACTACCCCCAGCTACTGTTACATGAAACTCCCCAGCTACTGCTACATGAAACTCCCCCAGCTACTGCTACATGAAACCTCCCCCAGCTACTGCTACATGAAACTCCCCAGCTACTGCTACATGAAACTCCCCCAGCTACTGCTACATGAAACTCCCCAGCTACTGTTACATGAAACTCCCCAGCTACTGCTACATGAAACTCCCCCAGCTACTGCTACATGAAACTCTCCAGCTACTGTTACATGAAACTCCCCCAGCTACTGCTACATGAAACTCCCCCAGCTACTGTTACATGAAACTCCCCAGCTACTGTTACATGAAACTCCCCCAGCTACTGCTACATGAAACTCAAGCAGTATCATCAACAATTTTATCAACACATTCCCTTGACTGAAGTGTGATATATTTACAAAGGTTTTTTGAATGTGTGAATGAATTAAATGGCTTTCTGTGAATATTGCCATGCAGATATTTATGCAACACTTGCATGATTTCTCAGGACTTTGGGTTCTAAATGTTAATCTGATGCAGCTATTTGGTCCAACATGATATACTGTATTAAGCAGTATTGTAAGATTGGTCAACTATTGACTGTTTGCTTGGTGTGCTGTGCAACAGTTAGACTAAGTCATTTGTAAACTTACATGGATTTATTTTACTCATTCAAAGATAATGGGTGTCTGTTGGATTTACTTTCTGAAAAATATTGTGTTATAAAGAGGCATGCAACCATTGTGATATTTTCATGGCATTTCATGATGTGGATGTCCGGAGCATTTTGAGGGTAGAAGTATCTTCAATATTGTGAGATTGAAACATTTCATTGACAAAAGTTTTTATGGCCATATGTAATACTTGGATATACCATGTTACTGCTTGAACTTGACGACGGACAGAGTTATTCTAGATGTGTCAAGGAACATGGTTTAGAGAGACTGTCATATTTATCAGGGGCGGTGGGGTAGCCTAGTAGTTAAAGCGTTATCAACAGTCACTAACACACACATAATCAAGTCTTGAAGACTTGGTTCTCTTGTTGAACAATAACCTTAACATCATTCTCAAACATAAAGAGTATCTGTATGCGTGATTTGATTTGGGTTGGTGTGGAGTTACTATTGCATTCATTGCCAAAGGACAGAGTCTGTGTGTATTGTGTGGAGAACTGATAGTATGTTTGTGTGACTGTATTTATTCAGGAACTATGACTTTGTAATCTCCTACAGAAGATGACCTTCTGTACATTTGTAAATAGAAACAAATCTTTCATTGTATATGCAATAAATCTGTCTTTATATTTTGGGTGATTCTCGTTAATATGTAACACATAAAAACCAGCAGCAATAATTCCACTCTGGACATTCTGTTGCTTACAGAAAGGGGCAAGTGTGAAGGAAGGAGGATTTACTTTGCTTTTCTGAAATGACGGCCCAGCCAATGTCACCCTGAGACCTAGTGACCAATCTAGGGATTGATCGGTGATGGTGTTTACCATGACTGAGCGATCCCCACTCCAGACTGTGCATTAAAGGCAACTGGACATTACTATGAGGACAGCATACTAACACCCTTTGATGCCTTGTTTGCCATGTTGGAGGATGATGTTTTACGCATATTGTCAGTTCCCTCCTCCTGCAGCACAACGTCCATAGAATGGCCATCGCCAGGAATGTTCCCAAACCTTTCCCTCACTGAACCCGTGCATTAATGATTGGGAGATGTGGTCTTCAAAGTCACAAGCCGTGGACCACAATAGCTGAACTTGGGCTGGTGCAGCAAGAGGAGTGAAATTCCTCAAATTGCCATAGGGAGACTCGTACACAATGTGCATCATAGAGAGAGTGAGAGACAAATCGAGGGGATATTCTGCACTACTCATTAAACACCGACATCTTCCATCAAGATCGTTGGTTATCATCTATTAACACCGACTGGTAAACTGTCTTAGATTATGATCGGTTGTGATGTGTTTCCAGTTTTGTCCATTAGAACAAACATATATTTCTAGAAACTACTATCTCTTGCAAGTTCTGGCTTCCATGGAAATTTTCTAACCATGGATGGTGAGGTGAGGTGAAATTGGGTTTTACGTCGTGCTTGAGAATATTTCGCTCATATGACGACGTGCATGTGTGTGTATGTGTATCTGCGGCTGCTTGTACTAGCCCAGACTTAAGCTGGTTTTATAGTGCTAGCCCACTGAGATACCATGCTGCAGTGAAGCATGAATACCCCACTCAGACACATTATACTGACTCAGAGCCGACCAGTCCTCGATGTACCCATTAATTCCGAGCGCCAGGCAGGGACAAACAAGTACCATATTTTAACGTCTTTTGGTATGACGCAGTCGGGAATTGAGCCCGCGACCTTCTAACCATGGATCACCACAGGGGCCTGACTAGGCTAAGGCTTAGTCTCTCAATATATATAATTTTGATACTAACAAACAAACCTATTTAAATTGAAAAGGCGCCCAAGGCAGACCAGAGATTCAGCGAACCTGAGGAAATCTAGACTTGCTTCATTAAGGGCTTTAACACTGCAGTGAGGGCTAGGCAGTAGGGAAAATAATGTGGTTCAGGGACTGTGAGACAGACTAGGGCCTGACTGATGTTGATTGACTTAAAATATTGAGTGGATTAATGTTGTTGAACTCCAATCAGCAATGTTCATGCCTTATAACCTTGGATGGAGTGAAGGTTAGAACTGCTCTTCAGCAACCCATGCTTGAGGCAAGGGGCTTAGTCTCTGAGTATACAAGATTTTGATAGAAACAAATTATTCCTTTTAAATTGGGATTTAGTTTGTTTCATGTAGTGTTTTAGCATTACAAAAGGGCTGGGCGGAAGGGAAAATAATGCTAACATGTTATATTTGGAATTACACTCTCTAAGTAAAGTACAGATTCTAGTACCAGCATGGCATTTTTGGAGGCAGACTAGAGATTTTACGAACACTTCAAAATGCCCTCACTCCCCATCCATGGCAATAATGAATGTGGCATTCTACTTGTATCGAAACAGCCTGTGGAATGGTAGTGTCTGGGCCAGGTATACAGGTGGTTAATTTCATGAGCATCACTCAGTCGGGGTACGATGACACACTTCGGTCTTCGAGCCTAAGCGTTCGATTGGTCTTGGTTACTTCTACAGATAATGACATATCCCTCGGCCTGACAAGTACCAGTTCTACCCAGAAATCCCCATGTGGTGAAAAGGAATAAGAATTATTTTCTAAAGACCGCTTCATCCAAAGCTGACTTTCCGGCGTTTACTTTGTAATGAATCTTATTAACATTCATTTGTGGAAAGTCACCATTTACAAGAAGCGCTAGTTAAATCACTGACGTCAGCCAGGTATTCCGCCTGATCGCTTCCACAACTCGCTCTGCAGTATGTATTGATGTTCAGCTCCCCCATTAAACTGAAATACTCTTCATGTTTTACCACGTTTCTTCCTTAGAAATGGAGCGATCGGCGAGCCTAGTGCTTATAGCGCTCACTCATCACGCCGAAGACTCGGGTTCGATTCCCCGCATGGATAAAATTCAGGAAGCCCTTAGTACATATTTGTTATCGTTGATATATAATGTTTCCTGTACAAAACGTACGAGTGAAATAATATATTTTATCTTACAGTCTCATTAAATCAGTTCGAAGGTCTAACTATCGCTACAAGTTCATCCCGTACATCCTTTATTCCAAGTACCATATCTCTCTTAAACAAATGTGAAGATACCTAAATCAATGAATTTATGTAAATATGTTTTGTATCTCTGTGATGTGTCAGTAGCTCTGCTGATGTAACACAAATTCCTGAAAAGGCATTAAAGTATTATTCTATTCTATTCTAAGTTCGGGTAGAACTACGATCTGCTTTAATAAGATCTACTTACCATATGTCATTATGAAAAATAACGGTGTTTTAGACAATTGAACAGTTTTGGAAACCGCATTAGAGTTAACTGTTTGAGTGAATCACACTATTTATCACACTTTATACCAAATGAATTGCGTCCATCTGTGTCTTGGGGCGGTGGGGTAGCCTAGTGGTTAAAGCGTTCGCTCGCCATGCCGAACGCCCGGGTTCGATTCCCAAAGCACCATGTCATTTGGTGCATAGAGAGTATTTCATTATTGTGCAATGGTAGGTCCTATTCCATACGAATGGATTGCTATCGATCGACGAATATATTTGTTTTAAGACTGAGAACACTTGGGGTTTCTCAGGCAGAATTGGCCCCAAGCCGTCACTTGTGTTCGTTAGAGACGATTAGAGAGAGAATTATGTGTCATGGTACCCCAACTCCATGGGGCGTTGTTCAGGCGATATCAGTGACAGTTCGCCGTCATATACATAGCTTATTATCGGCGTAAAACAACATTCAGTCGATGTTTGCTATTGACTATATAGCTGTCTGTGAGAAGTGGTAGGGGTAGCGCAGTGGTTAAAGCGCTCGCCCGTCACGCCCGGGTTCGATTCCCCAAATCGGTAAAATGTTTTGAGCTATTTCTGATTTTCCCCGCCGTGATATTGCTGGAATGTTGCTAAAAGCGGCGTAAAACTAAACTGACTCACACCCTTATTTGCATGTTTAGAGCTTTTATTTTATAGTTTATGCAACCCGATGGTATCCCTCGCCGTGATATTGCTTCAATAGTGATAAATGCGGCGTAAAACCTTACTCACTCTCCCTCACTCGTGTGCATGCGTGAATTAGTGAGTTTAGTTTTACGCCGCACTCAGCAATATTCCAGCTATATGGCGGCGGTCTGTAAATAATCGAGTCTGGACCAGACCATCCAGTGATCAACAGCATGAGCATCGATCTGCGCAAATGGGAACCGATGACATGTGTCAACAAAGTCAGCGAGCCAGACCACCCGATCCCGTTAGTCGCCTCTTACGACAAGCATGGGTTACTGAAGATCAATATTCTGACCCTGATCTTCATGAAAGTAGACGGTATGTATGTACGTACAGATGGACGCATGCATGTACATATGTCTTGGCCATTAGGTGCCTTACCCTGAAAGTGTGGGTTCGAATCCAGGATGGGACCCAAAAGGTACTAGAATCTGTACAATACTGGGAAAGTGTTATCCCAACTTTAACATAGGTTACATTCTTGAAGATGATTGCCTTGAAAGCGGCGGCTTTATGATGCTGAGTAGGAGTGGGACCGGAAGGTCTCAAATGATTGTGATTGAAGGGAATTTGAGTACTGGGACCAATCAGGAATATATTTATGCAACAGAACGTCCGAGTTCCAGCTCATTAACTCCAGATAATATTTTTCTGCAGTATTAATATTTAGATTAATCAATTTATCAATAATGTGCCGAATGCATCCTTCTTCAGCGTGGTGAACCCCAGACATAGGATTAATGCACTCTCGAAATTCACACGTGAAGATCCGGGTTAGAATTGATCTTCAGTAACCCATGCTTGTCGTAAGAGGCGACTAACGGGATCGGGTGGTCTGGCTCGCTGACTTTGTTGACACATGTCATCGGTTCCCATTTGCGCAGATCGATGCTCATGCTGTTGATCACTGGATGGTCTGGTCCAGACTCGATTATTTACAGACCGCCGCCATATAGCTGGAATATTGCTGAGTGCGGCGTAAAACTAAACTCACTCACTCACTCTCTAAATTAGTTCTTATCTCCCTGGGGAGTATACTAAACCAAGCAGCTTGAAGAGACGTATGGAGGTTACAGTCAGCATTTCATACTACCTGGTACCCATTAGACCATGTCTTCATCTATGCATTGTAAGAGGCGACTAACGGGATCGGGAGGTCAGGATCGCACATATCATCTTATCCCAGTCGTGTAGATCGATGCTCATGATGTCAATCACTGGACTGTCTTCCCGACATTTACAGACCGCCGTCATACAGCAGGGTTCACCTTGTTGAGGGCGACGTTAAACAACAAACAAATAATGGTCCCCATTCAGAGCTTTAGAAGAGTGAGTGAGTGAGATTAACGCCGCTTTTAGCAAATATTCCAGCAATATACATTGTGACCATGTGGGAAATCGAACCCGGGCGTGACGAGCGAACGCCTTAACACTAGGTTGGTTTGTTGTTTTACGCCGCACTCAGCAATTTTCCAGCTATATGGCGGCGTTTTGTAAATAATCGAGTCTGGATCAGACAATCCAGTGATCAACAACATGCGCATCGTTCTCGCAACTGGGATACAATGACATGTGTCAACCAAGTCAGCAAACCTGACCACCCGATCCCATTATTCGCCTCATTCGACAAAAATGGGTTACTGAAGACCGATTATAACCGAGATCTTCTTGGGTCTTAACCACTAGGCTACTCCCACCGCTCCTGTATTAGAAGATGCCACATGCGACGTGTTTTAGTATGTTACATATTGTTGCCTTAGAAACTCACAAGTCAAGCTTGCAAGGTTGACCCATGCACCTCCTCACCGCGACCAGGGTTTTTCAAATCGCCTGACTTGTGGCCTGTACACAGATCCACGCTACATAATGAGTGAGTGAGTTGAGTTTTACGCCGCAGTCAGCAATATTCCAGCTATATGGCGGCGGTCTGTAAATAATCGAGTCTGGATCAGACAATCCAGTGATCAACAACATGCGCATCGTTCTCTCAATTGGGAACCGATGACATGTGTCAACCAAGTCAGCGAGCCTGACCACCCGATCCCGTTAGTCGCCACTCTTACGACAAAGCAAAGTCGCCTTTTGTGGCAAGCATGGGTTGCTGAAGACCTATTCTACCCCGGATCTTCACGGGTCCCACGCTACATAAACACAACACAGGTTAAATAAGGAATGTTTAATGAATAATGACCACATGATCACAGACAAAACTAGAGAAACTCAAGGAAGGGAGGTAACTCTATTAACACTCTTTGCCCGTCCGTATGTTATGCGTAGACGTGACTCATTATGGAACATATAAATGTGTTTCAAACTTAATAATTGTACATGGTTCTTGTCATTAGATTATTTATGCAACGTGATATGATGAAGAACTATACCATGGAGTTATTTGAAAACAATGCTGAACCATAATGTTGTTGGAATCGTTTTAAGTGTTCTAAATATAAAATTTAAAGTAAAAAGAAACACCGTATTTATTTCCACCACTCGCAGATCATCCTCAGTGATCTAGGGAAGTTTACCCATTCGTCACCAAAGTTTCGTTCCAGAAGTGTCGACGCCATCTAAATATCTCCTATTATAAAACCTAGCGTCCAAACGAAACTATGGTAGCGAATGGGGCCACAACTTTTATTGTGATAAAACGGAGAAGTAATACCCTGCCTAATCGAAAATGCAATTACATATGATTTGTAATAATTGGAAAAATGTTTTTCATTCTTTATATATATAAAACCTTTAATACGAAACATACTTTCTGTGAATTCGGCTTTTCTTAAACTTGTGCGCAATATAACCAGTAAAGTGGAACCTCATTAAAACGGACGGTTGGTCTTCATTTATGAAGATATCCGCACTTCTAAACAATGGACATATATATAAAATATAATATAGTCACATATTCTGGTCGCAACAATTTGGTAATAGAGAGAAACTATCCAGATATATTTTTAATAAATATCCCTCAGTGAAATATACGCCACACTATGTATACTTAGATATTCAAAGGTTTATGAAAAAGCATAGGCATTGCATATAAAGTGAAAAATGAAGTTTTAAAAAATGTTTCATATCTGAAAGAATACCCTCGCATGTCATGAACAAGTGAAATAGACTGTTGTCTCGCCTCGCATTATGTGGCTGCACGTGCAGCACGTGCGAGTTAGTTTCAATCCCAGATGTCGTGTCAGTTCTGTGTCACTGACGCGCATTTGCAGCACGTGCGTTGCTTGGGTACTTAAAGAAGTACAAGCACACCTGATGGCGAAAATGGTAAGGAATCGATATTTTTTACCATTAATTTCCTCAGCAAGAAAATATACAGTCAGGATAATTATTCAATAAGCAAGATAAGTATCAATTACACTTTTGCCGAAATTTCATGAAACATATCCACAAAATCGAAATGGATGACCATTAACTCATTCCAGTTTAATTCATTCCGAAATTTTGTACTAGTAAACAAAATTGAGAAATAGGGTTCTCTGTTATTAAGCCAAATGATCCTCAATCACGGGCTGCACATGCATATTATGCAATTCTCTCTTTGCACGGGAGGTAATTATAACTGCAATAAAGTTATAACATTCCTAGCTGACCTTTCAGTCGAGGCGAATAACATTTCATACGTGTGCCCTTGCTTTTATTCTTGCAGCAGACATTATATCACTATGAAATTGTCTGGGTCATACCCATCAATATCAATGCATCCTTCGTGCAATCCATAACGGACCGTATGTCCCTATACTCTTGAGCTCCTGTTGTAAAATCAGTATGTCCATTTTGATACATGAGATCCATACTAAAGAAGGTTTTTGTCGACCCGAATTTCAAAACGTAACAAGTTTTCACGTCTCAGAACAGGAGTTCGGTATCACGGTGACCTTGTCAGTGTATAGCTTGTTTACATCTCGCCCCCTGGCGGCAATGACCGTTACCATCTCACCTGGTCAAATGAAGAGGTCAAGGTCAGTGTCAAGGTCACCGCTTACCTTCCAAACCGAAAATCGAAATCAGGTATAGGGGACATAGAGTTCATATACATAACCATCCCAGCAGTAAAGTGTCCACTGTTTCTTCCCGATCAACATGTAATAAATGGATCTACAGTAAAATATTCGCTTTGTGCTTTTCAATTTTTATCAACCATAGCCAAGTAAAATTAAAATGACCACATGCACAAATACATATGACGAAGCAGTGCACTATGCGAAATAAAGAATGAAAATAAAGTATTCACAATAACAAAGAAATAAGTATTTCTATTTTGCATTCAACTGGGCACTTGGACGTCCTTGACCTTTAAGGATAGTGCCATCAAAATACTTCCACTGACCCACTCAATATCCTCTTTCCTCATTGACTGAGAGGAACAGGCATTCAGTAAAGTATAACAAATCTGTTCAGAGAAAATTGCTGTTCCAATTTCCCGTTTCACGGTTTAGGTATCCGTTGCTATGGTAACGCACTCCCATGATGCCCATATTTGGTGTGTCCAACCACGTGCACCACCGGTAAAGCAGGCTTCTGTGCCGCCATGATGTTCACAACACTCTGTAAATCTGTTGGCTAGCTACAAGGCAGAAGTGGAGCGCGTTTGGATCAGAACAGCGTGATGAGAAGGGTTGACTCGAATTCCACAAAAGTCTTGATCATGTCTGAGACGGACGCCTCCGTGAAACGTCCACATCGGCGATTCTGTCACTTGAAAGACCAGCCTTACGTCCCCCATTAAATGCCGCTATTTCTCCAGCGGAAGAGACGTCATTGTGGCGGAAGAACATTTTTACGAAATTCTCCTGGCATATTGTTATTCCCCGCTGGTCTGTACTGGGTCACCACGACATATCGATCTTGACCTTTCACCTTGGATATTCCTACGCCAATTTCTGAAGTAGATCTCCAAATCATTTGGGTGAAGTTCATCGCACCTGTCGAATAGAGAGGTTGTAATAAGTCTCGCTGAAGAAAAATATGATATTAGATATAATATTCCATACAATCATATAGTTATATTTCACTTTAATCTCGTCGGTAGCAACTTTTTTCACTTTCGACGGCTCCTCTGAAACGACAAGCCCTGTGGAGCTTAAACTCTGCCTTAATTACCCAACCCGTCGTGTCTCTGCAAAGCGTACCCAGAGAATTCGATCCGATTTTTAACATCGCGCCTCTGCAACCATATTGTAAACGCCATTACAAATTACTGTATCAATATTGAATTTGATATTCAGATTAGCATGCTAGAAGATAAAGAACATGTAATAACATGGTTTCTTATTGATGCGCTTTTCAACATCCGGGATATTTCAGCCTATTTATCCTTGCAGGCTTGCCTCCAAGGTTCGATCACAACATTCTGATCTGTCTTCAAATATGCCTGTCACATTAAAAATTTTTGCTCATTGCTGAGACATTTCTGTAAGTGTTACTATTACATACAATTTACAGTAGTTTAGACTAACATCTAGTCTCTGAAATGAACATATTTTACAAAAACAACAACAAAAAACGGTTAATAAATAATAGTCATAAAATATAATGAAAAAGAGCCCTGAGATTTTCTTCATTTTCAGACTTGACATACATTCTAGACTTGCATGGGCTTTCTTGGATATTTTTGTTTCGGGGTCTGTATGACAGACCAACAGTGGTTATGTGGAATGACTAACATGAACATGTGCTGTTATTTGCTATTTTTAGACTTGTGCTATATTTAGACAGAGCTCTAGAGGCTTCCGTCGTTTTCTGACCCACAGAATATCGTAACATTTAGAAAGATTTGCTGTAGTATTTTCTAGTATCTAATTCTGGTGTATATAAGGGGAGTGGCTATTGCCTCCCATCTCACATTACATGTCAAGCCACAAGAAGATCAGCATTGCATGTGACGATCATACCTTGGAGCTCTGGATCTCTGGGGCCCTGGATCTCAACCCTGGAGCTCTAGAACCCTGGAGCTCTAAAGCCCTGGAGCTCTAGGGAGCTCTACAACCCCGGAGCTCTACAACCCTGGAGCTCTAGAACCATGGAGCTCTAAAGCCCTGGAGCTCTAGAACCCCGGAACTCTACAACCCTGGAGCTGTAGAGCTCTGGAGCTCTAGAACCATGGAGCTCTAAAGCCCTGGAGCTCTAGAACCCCGGAATTCTACAACCCTGGAGCTCTAGAGCCCTGGAGCTCTAGAACCCTGGAGCTCTAGAGCCCTGGAACCCTAGAGCCCTGGAACCCTGGAACCCTGGAGCTCTAGAACCCGGAGCCCTGGAGCTCTGGATACTCACTGCCCAGCCCTTTCTACTTGGATTACTGTTCATTGTCTTTACCATCATTGTCTTTACTGCTATAATCACTGCTCTTATATTTTGTTACCTCTGCCTGCTGCCCCACAGTTTGCACTGCCATAGTTCCACCTTCTATCATCTAATGGAGGAGGTTGGTGCAATACAGCAATCTGATAAACTTGGTATCCAAATCTGATACCTATGCAAATTACGTCAATCCACGAACTACTTTCACAAAACTCCATACACGCCATGCGAATCCTAAAACGGATGATGAGGCACGAGTGAAAGGCGATCGTCTAAGAAAGGCTCGCATAATACAATTTCTATTCCAAATATATGATATTAATGATACGGAAACACACTCGGTTAATAATCTCTATATATTGTTTTTTTAACTTGGTTAATAATAGAGTGCAGTTGTTAATTACAGCCCATTTCTTTGTTGTTTGCGACTATGCTTGTCGTAAGAGGCGACTAGGGATCGGGTGGTCAGGCTTGCTGACTTGGTTGACACATGTCATCGGTTCCCAATTGCGCAGATCGATGTTCATGCTGTTGATCACCGGACTGTCTGTTCCAGCCTCGATTATTTCAGACCGCCGCCATATAGCTGGAATATTGCTGTGTGCGGCGTAAAACTAAACTCACTCACTTTGTTGCGTGTTGGTTTCCCACTTAGTTCTTGTACGGACTGATTCCTGGTTAACTATTTAGTTTCAACTTGGGGATGGACACATGTACACATGCGGGGAATCAAACCCTGGCCTCCGCGGGCTCATGATATCAATCACTGGATTGTTTGCAGCGTCACATAGCTGGAAGGAGACGTTAAAAAACAAACAAACCTAGCTCCCCTATCACGACAAAGTTTACATTTGTACCTCCATGACAAACATGGCACTGCGAGTGGGTATAGCTAATGGTATCCAAGAGAGGATTTGTCAGATAAGAAGTTACGAAATCTGATTTTATGAGTTTGTAGTTAGGTTTTGTCCCCAATCTGTACTCACCTTTCCGCCATCTTGGAGTTGAATAGTCATATTTAGCACACTCTCTGTACCACTGTTTGGAGACCTCCTCCCCCACGGGATCCTTGCCGTTCAGGTCCAGGAAGATGATGTTCTCTCCCACGCCTACAACACAGAGCACAGGGACATGTCAACAACCTGCTTGAGTTTCCTAGCCAGATGTAAGTGTCGCATCATATAGCACAGTACTGACAGCAGAATAAATAAAAACCGAAAAATAGAAAATGAAAAATAAATAAATAAATATATATACTCTCCCCAAAAAGAAACGCATCATGAAAATAGCAATTTCATGTAGTAATGAATTAAAACGTGATTCATTTTACAAAAGGTTTTGCTCTGTTTATGAGTCCTATGGTGTTTATGTTTTGAAACATCACAACAAAACGCACCATCCGTAAAATACCCGTATTTAACAGCATGATTTTCAATTTCGGCGTGTAGTGTCACAGAATACACAATTCACATGCAATGCACGTGAAAGTTGAGGATCAGATAGTCTCAATGATGGGTATAAAAGGTTGATCGCTGTCTGTCGATTATTCACTGTATTTGGAATATTGTTGACGAACGCAAAATGCCACGTCTAAGTGAAGCCAACCGTCATATCGCCGTTGGTTTGCTTGAAGCTGGCCAGTCTCAACGTGCAGTTGCCCGACGCATGCATGTTCACTAAAGCACCATTTCACGGCTCTGGGAGAGATATCGCCGCCAGAATGCGGTATCAGATGCCCCTCGTAGTGGGCGACCTCGAGCGACCACTGCGGAGCAGGATCGCTACATCCGGGTACATCACCTGCGTCATCGAACAGCTACGGTGACCAGTACCGCTCGACAAATACCCGGATTGAGGAGGCTTTCTGCACAGACCGTCAGGAACAGGTTGAGAGAGGCTGGTTTACGTGCCAGAAGACCTTATTTTGGCCCTGTGCTTCGACAACAACATCGTCGACATCGAGTTCAATGGTGCACCAAAGTTCAGGCCTGGAACCTACCGAATTGGCGTAGAATCTGGTTCAGTGATGAATCACGATTTCTATTGGAACGACGCGATGGAAGAATGCAGGTGTACGTCGACGTGAACGTTTCGCCGACGCTTGCGTTCCCCAGGTGGACAGATTCGGCCGGGGCGGTGTTATGATGTTGGGGGCGATCACCTGCCGTAGGAGAAGGGATTTGGTGATGATCCAGGGCAACCTGACAGCTCAACGGTACTGTGACGAAATCCTACGCCCACACCTCCTTCCAATCATTGATCGCAAGAGGGAGTTGTTTCAACAGGACAATGCAAGGCCCCATTAGAGACTTCCTCCAGAATCACAACATCAATGTGCTCCCCTGGCCCTCAAGATCACCGGACTTAAACCCGATCGAACATATGTGGGATGCCCTGGACAGACGGGTGCGACGCCGTAACCCTCAGCCCCAGACACTTCAGCAACTCGCACAGGCACTACAGGCAGAGTTGGCTGCGTTTGGGCAACACGAGATTCTGAGACTTATTCGTTCGATGCCGAGGCGATGCCGTGCAGTTCTGGATGCCCACGGTGGTCACACGAGGTATTGACTTCAGCGCCACCACACGTCTCCATGTGACACTCAAACTGACTTTCCTCGAGTTGGTGCCAAAGACGGATAAGTCTGCATTCCCAGTGTGCAATTTCGCTATATTTCATTGACTCATAAAGCCTACACGATGTTTCAAAATACACATAAAAATACAGTTGAAATTTCTATATACGTTTCTTTTTGGGAGAGTATATATACACTAAAATAACCAGGATTTAATAGCGTTTCTGTCATATCACAGCCTGTTAGCATTGCGTTGAGTGCGTGAATGAGAGAGTGAGAATGAGTTTACGCCGCGTTTAGCAATATTCCAGCAACATCACGGCGGGGGACACCAGAAATGGACTTCACATATTGTGCATTGTACCCATGTGGGGAATCAAACCCGGGTCTTCAGCGTGACGAGCGGACGCTTTAACCATCAGGCTACCCACCGCCCCATGGACTGGTTTGTTCTTTAACGCCGCACTCAGCAATATTCCAGCTATATGGCGGCAGTCTGTAAATAATCGAGTCTGGACCAGACAATCAAGTGATCAAGAACATGAACATCAAACTACGCAATTGTCAACAAAGCCAGCGAGCCTGACCACCCGATCCCGTCAGTCGCCTCTTACGACAAGCATGGATTATTGAAGATCAATTCTCACCCGGATCTTGACGGTTTGCAATAAAAAACAGGAATTAACAGCGTTTCTGTCATATCACAGCGTGTCAGCAATACATTGAAGAAACCGTATGTTGTATCGTTCGAGATCGAGTTTGTCACTTGGTGGAACAACAACCACGGATGTTCTGATTGACAAGGGATCATTAAAGGGACATAACTCTATATCATGATGTGTTAGATTCCGACGTTCATACATTTTGGACCTCGTTCCATGAAGGTTCATACTCTTATGAACTCTCGCAAAGCGAGAGTTAGAACTTACCTGACCAGTGTGATTCATGCATACCTTGGGCAGTACCCTAAATGAAACGCATAAACTGTGATCCTCACTTAAAATGTCATCTTGCAACAACTTTGTGTTCCTGCGCACGTGGCCTCGGTGCGAAGGGAGACTACTCTGAGCAATATCTGGATCGGCAGCTATTATTCACAAATACATTTCTTTGTCTATCGGCAGTACGTCTAACAGTGAGTGAGTATGGTTTTACGCCGCTTTTAGCAACATTCGAGTAATATCGCAGCGGGGAACATCAGAAATGGGCTTCAAACAATTTACCGATGTTGGGAATCGAACCCGGGCGTGACGAGCGAGCGCTTTAACCACTGGGCTACCCCAACCGATCCACTTCTCACAGAGAACCATGTAGTCAATAGCCAAACGTCGACTGAATGTTGTTTTACGTCTATAATAAGATATCTATATGACGGGAGCTGTAAGTCAAGTGTAAGTGATATCGCCAGAACGACACCCCGAGGAGTTAGGTCACCACGACACATAATAACTCGATCCTCTCTCTAATCGTCTCTAACGAACACAAGTGACGGCTTGGGGCCAATTCTGCCAGAGAAACCCCATGGGCTCTCAATCTTAAAACAAATATATTCGTCGATCGATATCAATCCATTCGTATGGAATAGGACCTACCATTATACAATAATGAAATACTCTATATGCACCAAATGACATGAAGACCACGTGTACTTCACCAGATTAGTGCCTCTGGTCTTCACTCGGTGGCGTGCGGGAGTCTCACAAACCTCACCTTGCTGGTGTGAGAAATGGCACCCAATCACGCATAGATCACCAGTCTAAATATACCATCGCCAACCCCGCCATTAATTACAGTATGTCCATATTCCATCGACTGAGATGCCAGTCATTTGACAAGACTCTTGTTGGTTTAGTTTTTGATGGGCGGACGTCCATTATCCACTTAGGCAGCTCGTGGAGAAGTGTCTGGTAAATTTGACCAATTTGTTAGATGAAATGCCCAAATATGGCTTGTATCCAGCATTGGCTTTCGCTGTCTATGTGCGGCTTGGAATCGGTCAGAGTCAAACCATTATGGACAATGTGGAAGAAAGTACCTTACAACGGGAGCCAAAGGCCAGTGACCAGCAAAATAATTTGTCTGATAGTCTGAAGGTAACACGCGAACGATGTAATTTTACGATATTTGTTTAGGAAGATATGTGATTATATATTTCCCTGTACAGAAGAGGTATTTTCAGCTTATGGTAAAGAGGCGGGGGCTAGCCAGTTTGTTCAAGGGTTAGTTCATACTGAAGGCCGTGGTTCGATTCTAAACATGGATGGAAGGCGTGCCACTTCTGAAGTCTCTCCGCCGCCATATGACTAAGGAGCTGCCACTTGAGTTCTCATCTCTCGCCGACTCACACATTCTCCATCAGTGAATCCCTTCCAATAGTCTCATCAAACCTTCTGATCGTGTATTGGGCTTTGTTAGGAGTACATGCAAATCTGGTGTGACGATAAGTCTATTATTTGCCAATAGACTTTGCCACGCCAACCCGGACGCATCTTCAAGCATTCAGTATGGCACATACTCTGATGTACAAATGAAAGTTCACACATGGTGTTTTGGATTATTTTCTAAGAAATACCGCAAATGTTTTGAAAAGGTGTTTGCTTGTCACTTAAAAGTAACAAACATTGCGTACGTCTTGCCAAAACACCACATATAACGTGTTGGGAAATAATCCCAAAGAACCAGGTGGGTACTTTCTTTTGTACGGAAATTTATATTCAAGTGGGTTACACATAAACGATGCGGGTGTCATCACCCTCCTCACCCCCAGAATCGCAACATCAGTGAGTGTTTAGTTTTACGCCCCTTTTAGCAATATTCCAGCAATATCACTGCGGGGGACACCAGAAATGGGCTTCACACATTGTACCCATGTGGGGAATCGAACCCGGGTCTTCGGCGTGACGAGCGAACGCTTTAACCACTAGGCTACCCCACCGCCCCGAATCGCAATATCAACTACCTTTATACTCTCAGTTCTCATCTGATCACTCCGAAAGCCGATTGCAGTTTAACACAAATCTCGGAAGCACATGTTAGAATTCAACTTTAAATTAATTCACCTATGACTTTCGGTTGAAATGCCTGATTAGATTTGCTGCTACCATACTTTCATCATATCGGTAAATTTCTAAGACCTGCATATTTTCAGTCTGTCCTCCCACGTAAACGCGATGATATAACCGGAAACCTGTTGAAATCAGCGTTAGAACCAACCAACTCACTAACTACACGAGTATGCCCTTCCTGTTCTGAAAAACCCAGATTCAGACTAACGACTACCAGTATTGACCTGTGGAACTGTTCAGGGCCCATTTATAAATCACGTACATCACTTTCAGGCCAAGAAACAGCACTATCGTATCGCATCCAAGAATTAAAACACAGTCCGTCTGTCTGCTAACTCGGAATTAATTACCCGCCTGCCGGTGTGTGGTTACAATCATTCCAAAGAGTTTCACATGCGGCACCGAAAACAATGTCTGGAAGTCGACTGCTATCACACCATTCGTCACCACTCGGGCTTACCGTAACCT